AAGGATGATGACAAAACCTTGTCGAAACGTTGTACATTTACTGTTATGTTAAACTTATATTAATCTTTTCCTTAATTACCCATTCAAGCCGTCTCCAAGCATTATTAGTCACAAAGTGGATTCCTCGTCATCGAATATTAGTGTTAAATAGTTTTTCAGTGTTAAATAGTCTTACATTTCTATTATGCTCCTGAATCCTGTCTTTTGTTCGTCTATTTTTTTTTCTTTTTATTCAACATACTGAAGTCTTTGTCAATTGATTAACGCACGAGACTCTTTATTTAAAAAGGTCCAAAATTGAATTCTGGCCACTATTAACACAGAAATAGTCTTTCTCGGAACTTCCTAAAGACGGCAGCAAATTAGCAGACAAAAATGTAGGTTAAAAGCTAGTTACTAATTATTATCTAGTTATGTTAGTTACTAATCAATAATTAGATTTATTTGAACGTATGGGCTAGTAACTCTGACAATGTAAGAACAGTATATTAAATTAGCTGTATTCATTAATGGGTAAATATTTAATCGTGATCTATATAGGTAGCTTGCTTTGATCAGAAGTTAATATTACTAACTTGAAGTGATATATGAAAGAAAATTTTGAAAAGTTTTAACCTTGAAAATGTTAACAAAATTAAAGAAAAACTAATTTTCTAATTTTAATATAACTTTGAATTTGGTACTACGCTCTTTCTGTAGCCAGTTTGGTGACGACATTTTCCAACCATCGAGAGTTTCACTTTCATCTTGTTCAACTAGTATCCTACGTGACGAACCTAAATTCAGAGGTCACAACTTGTTGGAAGGTGAACTAAGTGAAATATTGGACATAATCGTGAAGGTAGCTGAGTATAACCTCAATGGTTGTTTCGCGTAATTTAGCTGAATACAAGTTATAGAACAAGGAAGTTCTGTGAAACTTAGTTAACAACATGGTTTAAATGAGTTGTTAGAATCAGAAATCATAAAAATTTGCTATATTAGTGTCAAAAACATTCTTCACGAAGGATCGAACTGCTAAACTTGTTACTGCTCATTATAATCTTCACCTCCTTGTTACAAGATGAGAACCTGGATAGTAGCACAGAGAAAAAGCAACGTGAATTGAGAATGAAAAGCGAAAAACTGTTGTATACTTTTGGCAATTTTAGAGCACTGGTGGCACTGGAACCTGAAAAAAATTAGTAAGAAATTATACAGATGAGAGATCATCTGAGAAAGAAGCCCATGGAGATACTAAGGAGAAAGAATGAGAGAGTATATGTGTGTGTGGTGTTACAATATATATGGAATTATATAAAGTAAAGCTTTGTGTAAAACAAATGAATCATTTACACAGAGAACACAACCATAAAATAACAATGGGTGAGTAAAAATTAAAGGATCTAACCTGAACCTTATGATGCTGATGTATAAAGTAAATTACTGGTCTGTGGAGTATTATTGGAAGATACGGTGCACCCAGTGATTTAATGTTAGCAGTTAACACCATTCATTTTTGTTACAATTGCTAATTAATACTAAAAAAGTACAACAGAAAATAAAGGACACCGTATAAAATTATTAGTCATACTATTAATTTTCTTTGTGCTTTCCACTTTAATGTAACGGAAAACTCCTCAATAAAGAAAAGTGACGCGTACTAAATAAGTGTTTAACATTGTCATTACTTATTATTATTAGCAATACAAGTTTTAGATTAGTTCTTTTGAATGTTTAGTAAGAAATCCAAATCTAAAGAGAAAAATGTCCATAAAATCAACACTTCTATCCCTTATTGGTTTGTTGTTACTACAATATATTATTTAGTAATAATGACCCGTGCGTC